CCTTTCTTGCTGCTGCTTTCTTTCCATCAACAGAACAAGCAGGGCAAGGAAGGAAAGGCTGCAAAATATGTGTATTTAGCTTCAGTATATTAATCCCTAATCTTAGAAATAAACAGAGTGGACCAGCGACTATCTTTTTCAATAAAGGTAAGCGATGACCATGCCTTTCCTAATGAATTCTATACAAACCCATGTGCAGCTCTTTAAGCATCCAAGAGTTGCTGGCCAGCATTATTCCTTCAGAAACTAAGCCAGGTCCTCTGGCTTAGCCTGGTTGGCTGGTGGCAGTGGGCTGACAGATGTGGAGATTGCTAAGCAGATGTGTGGATTGCACTAAGCAGAAATCCTACCCCACAAAGGAAAAGGGAGACTCTCACTTGAAAGTGTTCCAAAATCCTTTGAGAGTCATAAGTGCAAGCTCAAAATAGTGTTTGCTGTGCTTCTGTGTTTCTGTACATACCTGCATTTACATCTTCTTCTCACTGAAAAAGAAATTCATGAGGGCTCAAGCTCTGTGGGATTCAACCTAAGATTCAGCCTGAATCCATTTCTGATGACCAATGTTTATTACAATATGGAAAGCAGATTTTCACCTGCTTACATGAGGTTTGTACCTGTACTTTCTGCTAGTGATTGAGACCACATAAGACACAATACCACTTTCTAAAGCGCACATAAAATCCATTGGAGAAATGCAGCTTTGTGAATGCAACAGTGTAAACCAGGATTTTCAACCCAAGCATGTGCTAGAAAAAGTATAATAGTTGTTTTCATGAGTTTATGCAGTCTCATGTACCCTAACTGTGCAAGTAAAATAGATTTTACAGACATGTAGGCTGTTTTCTGGACTGCAGTTGCATGAGGGACAGAGCAGCCAAGCAAAAGGGAATGATGACACCCTGAGTGCTCCATCAAGAAGCATAGTCAAGGTCCTCATGAGAAACACAATGTGTGATGGAGAAACAAGACTGTGAAGGATGAAATTGAAATTCTAAATGGTGTCTGATCCTCTCTGAGGTTTATGTCATCAGTAAGATTTGCAATACAGCATGTTTTCAGGTGGACACCTGTCCAAATCTGAAGGATCAACCAGAGAGTATTGTTAGTAAAAACCTAGTAATTGGTGTCACCAGGTGACTAGGCTGAGTTCACCAAGTCAGGAAAATGATAAACTTGAAGAGATTCCTAAATGGATTGCTAAGTGTTTAAAACATCTTTTCAGACCAGCTGCATAGAAATCTCTGAAATGCCAGCACTGGTTAGCTCACCATCTGTGTTATCCCTCCGTCTCTTCCCCTCCTTCAGCCTTTATTTTGAGGCTCCTTTTTGTTGCCAGAAGAAAAATGACTCTTCAATATTCTTGGCATGTTATTGGAAAGATAAATTTTGAAGTGAAATTTTTGTTGGTTTCAACTCTTGCTATATAAAGCACATTTAATAATACTTAACATTTACTCAGCCTACTTATTAATCATTAAAGAATACCAACTATCAAAATAATCCATAGTTAACTGAAATTAAGTAATCACATACTAAAATTACACCACAATAATGCTCAAATCTCAGAACAGATGGAGAAGTCAAGCAGAGAGTTTTTAAATAGTTTGTTTCAGCAACTTTTTAATTTTGTTGCTGCTTAATTTTCAGAAACTCACTAAGATAATTACTGACTTATATCATACTCTGTGCTTAGGTATGCACTGCTGAAACATAGCTTTTTATATTTATATTCATCTGTGAGATCTGCGGATCCACTCTCAGCTAGGAAGGCAAGATGAAAACATCTTGATGACAGTGCAGGAGGTCTGACCAGACTTCTCTCCCTGCTGCTCCTTATGGTGCTGCGGTAACTGTAGTGGCTCTCAGGCACCAGCTTTATCTACTCTTTGATTCCTCCTTTTTCCCCACAACCAGTTAAAATTAAGAGCAATCCATATGGCTCACCTTTTGTTGGAATGACTGATGCAAGAAGCTGTACTAGGAAGATAAAAGGCCTTTAATGGCAGCTCTGGAAATACAAACATTTCCCAAGGAGGTGTAACCATTTTAATAAGTTTGGAGTTGGTCAATAACCCTGCCCATCAATACTTGGCAATGTGAGGGAGATGAGGAAGATGTACAGCACTGCTTGCTGAGCTCAGTAAGAACCCCACAAGGACTGTAAGAGTATGCTTCTCTTGAAAAGGTAAAAGTGGAGAGAAATGTTGGAACTAAAGAGACAGAAGAACTCAGAAAACACCTGACAACAAAGAGCAAAGTCAAGCTGGACACACACATCTCCCTTTCAGAGACACACTATGGTGCTTGAGCAATTCTTTCACTGAGTGAATACCACAGGTAAGGGGTGTGAGACTAGACTGCTCATAGCTTGAAAACTCTTCCTATGTCTTACTCTCAGATCCTAACACTCTCACAAGGTTTCACCACACATGAAATGACTTCTGCCTCAGCAGCAAGGGCTTTTAATGTTTTCAGTTAAGGAAGAAGTATTCAAGAACAGAGGGATTTAAAGTGCCATATATCCATAATATAAAAAGCATAGACTGCCTTCTGATATACATGCTATCATAACCAGGACCTGCAACAAACTTGTTTCCCAGAGGTAACAGGTTGGTCAGAGATGTGACAAATTACTCACAACCAAGACTTTTCACACCACATTTCATTAGTGAAAAGTAGATAGATTACATGTGTCTCTCTGTGCTTTATAGATGCCATAAAAATACTGCAGATCTTACAGCTTCATTGTGGAGTCCAGCTCATTCATGTTTGCAAACCTGACTTGCTAAATTTGAATGGCACCATTTTTAATCCATTTTGGAAAATGTTTGGAATAAGTTACTCTGCCACAGACATTTTAATGAATGTTGAAATAAACCATCTGTTTGGGGCTAGATTGGAGTGTTTCCTCTGTGCAAGTCCAAAATTTTATTTTACCTTGGATTTTTCCTTACCTCCACTTGACTTGGTCTATAGCATGGGTTTCCACACTAGGATTCTTGCGTTCTCAGTCTTAATCCAAGTTTATGTTGGCTATACTTGGCTATGCTTGCTCTCTGCTTGGCAAAGGAAATATGGTAACTGCTGTGTTCTGAACTGTAGTAGGGGTACTTGACCAAGTGCTTGAGCTATGTAGACTTGCAAACCCTTCTTAAACCTGCTTGAAACTGCTTTTCCTGCAGTTACTAATGCTGTTGTAATGCCTGGAAAGGCATGGGAAAACATAGAGACACTGGGACACCACATAGGGCCTGCAGGCACAAGTTGCAGTGAAGGAAATTATTAAATAAAAAGGAAAAATCTTTATAGTTGAGGGCAAAGCATGGGCACAGGTTTCCCAGAGAGGCTGTAAAATCTCCTTCTATGGGAATATTCAGACTTGAGTGAACGAAATCCTGAGGAAAACCTTTGCATGGTTGCAGGTGGTGGGACCACAGAGATGCCCCGGATCTGACCTCCACTGGTCCCTTTCAAATTAAGCAATTCTGAGATTCGTGCTTCAGAAATCCTGGGAAGCAATGGCTTCAGGTTTTTACGGAGATACAGTGTCTGCAGCCTGTCTTAATAATAGCATTTAGCAGGAGGACACAATGGTAATGGATGTAATGAATGCTGACACTCTAATTCCCTTTGAGTGTGCCCACCTTTTTACCATGACACACGGCACACTGCTTACTTTCTTCATTTGGACTGTTGAAGACAGTAAACACATTTTCTTCTAATGAATTTTTCAAAATTGTTTCTGAATGGTTTGCATGCTGTTCCCATAACCAAGAGGGCATTTTGTTTCCACATTCTTTTGATTGTCAGTCACAGAATGAACAGACCCTCCCAGATTGGGGTGGGGGCACCTCGTCTCCTAGGAAAGCCACATTGCTACAAGGGGGGAAACTACCCACTGCGCACATTTGTTCGATACCAGTTCTGGTAGCAAGGGTCATGAGACAGTTATCCCTTGATCTCATCAATACATATAAATAGCTCAAAGGTAGTTGTTAAGAAGATGGTGCCAGGCTCTTTTGGTGTGCCCAGCAACAGGACAAGGAGCAGTGGCCATAAACTAAAACACAAGAAGTTCCACCTCAACATGAAGAACTTACTTACATTGAGGATGGCAGAGCACTGGAACAGGCTGCCCAAGGAGGTCGTGGAATTTCCCTCTCTGGAGGCATTTAAAACCCACCTGGACATGTTCCTGTGTCACCTGCTCTAGGTGACCCTGCCTTGGCAGGGGGGTTGGACTGGATGATCTCTAGAGGCCCTTTCCAACCCAAAGGATTCTGTGATTCTGCTTCAATTATTTGTGTGCTTTAGAGAGGAAACACCCTGGCTGCTGGTTCATTGTGAGACACAAAGAGGGAGACAAGAAGAGATCTGGTATCTTTTACGCCCATGGGATTAGGTCTTCTGTGCTTTGACCTTATCATTTGGGAGACCTTAGAAAACAGCGCAGATCATCCTTTCGGTGGTGAACAGACTGTTAACCCCAGGGTATATACTGTTCAGACAGTGTAACCGTGGAACAGGCTTTTTCACAGCTATTTCTAGAGCTACCTGGACACGTTTCCCTCTGGCGGCGCAGAGCTCCTGCTGGGATCAGAGCCCTTCCAGCCAAACGCTGCACGGACGGCACCCATCGCGGGAGAAGCGGCTACGGAGCGGGGGGAAAGCAGCCATGGGAGGAGCGGCTCCTCCCCCCGTGCCCCCGGGAGACTCTCCCTGCCCCGGAGCTGGGCAGGGAGAGCCGGCCAGCGATGACCCTCCTGCCTCGGCATCACGGAGTGTCCCCAGCCTACCCCACGCCTGAGACCCCCCCCTGCCCCCGGCTCGCCTCTGACGTGTGCGCGGGGCGGGGGCTGTGAGGGGCGGGGCGCGGGGGGCGGCCGGGCCGGCGGGAAACTTCTGCGGGTTCAGCACCACAGACGGGGCGGGCGCGGTACCGCCGCCCGGCATGAGCGCCCCGCCAGCCCCACCGCCGCCCCGCCAGTCCCACCGCCCTGCCGCCGTCGCCCCCGCGCTCCGCCTCGGCCCCCGCACAGCCCCAGCCGCCCGGGCGCCGATGGAGGCGGTGGCAGCGCTGAACGAGAGCGGAGCGGCAGCCCCCCGGCTGCAGGCCGGCGGCGGCAACGCCTCGCTGGAGCTCTCGTCGCGACCCCCCGCGCCCGCCGCCCTCAACCCCTGGGATGTGATGCTCTGCGTGTCCGGCACCGCCATCGCCTGCGAGAACGCCCTGGTGGTTGCCATCATCTGCTACTCGCCCGCCCTGCGCACCCCCATGTTCGTGCTGGTGGGCAGCCTGGCCACGGCTGACCTCCTGGCGGGTCTCGGCCTCATCCTCAACTTCGTTTTCCAGTACGTGATCCGCTCGGAGACAATCAGCCTGCTGACGGTGGGCTTCCTCGTGGCCTCCTTCGCCGCCTCCGTGAGTAGCTTGCTGGCTATCACGGTCGATCGCTACCTCTCCCTCTACAATGCCCTCACCTACTACTCGGAGAGGACGGTGCTCTGCATTCACACCATGCTGGCGTGTGCCTGGGGGGTCTCCCTCTGCCTGGGGCTGCTGCCCGTCCTGGGCTGGAACTGCCTCCATGACCGTGCTGCCTGCAGCGTCGTCAGACCCTTGACCAAGAGTAACGTGACGCTGCTGTCTGCCTCTTTCTTTCTCATTTTCCTCATCATGCTCCATCTCTACATCGAGATCTGCAAGATCGTCTGCAGGCATGCCCACCAGATAGCTCTCCAGCAGCACTTTCTGACTGCTTCCCACTATGTCGCCACCAAAAAAGGAGTCTCTACCCTGGCTATAATCCTCGGGACTTTCGGAGCCAGCTGGCTGCCTTTTGCCATCTACTGCGTGGTGGGGAATCCTGACTACCCTTCTGTGTACACGTATGCCACGCTTCTACCCGCTACCTACAATTCCATGATCAACCCCATCATTTATGCCTACAGAAACCAGGAAATCCAGAGGTCCATGTGGGTGCTCTTCTGCGGCTGCTTTCAGGCTAAAGTGTCCTTTCGCTCCCGGTCCCCCAGTGATGTCTGAGTGACTTTTCTCTGCCGTACTGCACAGAGTGACAATCTCCCGAGTGGACTGTTACAGTGCCTGTTCTAAACTTCAAACTACATTGTGAAATCATTGGACACATGCTTAAGTATTAGCACTTTATACATATTTGTATCTCTGAGAGTGGTTCAGGGTATGGAGTTTTGGGTTCCATCAAAATAATAACAATGTGGTTGTATATAAATCTGCACATCACATTTGTGAAGACATTCCGGTACTGCTTAATTATAGCACCTTATTTCTAGCTGCTCACCTGCCAAAACAGTGTTGCCTTTCTGAAGGGCAGATAGAAAGTTGTGTTTGTGTTGTATTTATACGTGTGTGTGTTTGGGGGGGAGACGGGGCTGGGAGTGTGTGTATGTATGTGTGTATCAATACCTTGCTGCACAATATTGATAAATTATAACATTTTGTATACAAATAAAAATATGTAAAATGTAATATAACTTTGTGTGTTTAGATGCTTTTAGACATAAGAGAGTTGGCAAATTTGCCTGTTGAACAAAGTCCCTTGAAAGCTCCCCATGTAATTCTGCCTAAAGAGATCATCATTCACTATAGAGATGAAATACTGCACCAAGAAAGGCACCTTCTGCTTGCTTATTTGTTTGTTCTCTTCTTTAGTCTGACAAAGAGTAACAAAGAGAACAAAATCCTTTTTTTTTTTCCTCCAGAAACCCAAGAAACAAAAAGCCTGGTCAAATAAGCTGCTCATTACAGTTATTCCCCAGGTTTCCAGTAGCTTTTATCTTCAAGTTGTAAGTTAGCCCTTTACGATCCACTGATCCATTTAAAAATTATCTAACTGTGGGGAAAAATCATTCTCTAAGCTGGGCTTTTTCCCCCTTGTTTTAATCTAACACTGGAAGAGAAAAAAAAAGAAGAAAAACAAAAAAAGGCACGGTCTTCTTTCCTAAAAGCCTGTAAAATGCCACAATAAATTGACTGTCTTTATCATCCGCAGTTCTGAAGGGAATCTGAATTGTTTCTCCCTCTCTTTTTTTTTTTTGGACTGTGTGCTGTAGAAAAATCATTTAAGTGCATCTTTGCTGTCTGCCTGTCTTGGAGCAGTATACAGTTTTCTGATAATCCCATGGCTTAGTGGCTTCAAAGAGTCCATCAGAGGTCAATGTTATTCAGAGTTTGGAACACTCCTTCACCCAGCTTCAAATTCACCAGCAATTATTTATTCACCACTGATTTATTTAGAGCAATAACATGTGCAACACCATCTATAATGCTGCTGATGCTTTTGAGAAAGCACGCAGGATCACCCTTGAGGAGAAAAGACAACGCAGAAAGAATGGAGCCTTGCAGAATATACCATCTAAGGAGTCTTTCTGCTGTGCCTTTTGCAACCGGACATGCCTATCTCGTATTGGCCTTTTTAGCCACCAATGCGCTTGCAACAAATGTGGGTAGAGCCCTTCCCAAATCTTCGTTCGCGAAGCCTAGCCATGAACATGTGCAGCAGATTTTAGAAGCAGTGTTGCTGCTTATTTATTTGTAGTTATGCTACACTTGCATCCTGGTTATGTTATGGTTTATTGCTATCATTTAAATTTGTATTTAAGGACTGAAATAGATTACGTATATATGCATGGTACCATATAAAAAGTTTGGACTAATGTGCTTCCCAGCTTATGACTGGGCAGTGCATCCAGCATCTGCCTGCTGGAGTAGCTGGGACCACAAGGATCCAACAAGCCTCAGAGAGGCTGTGAATCAGTAATGCTGTGAATGCGAGTATTATGCAAGCTAGTGTCATTTCACTGATAATATAAAGAGATTTAATTTAAAAGAAAAATTGGTATTCAAGACTCTGCTACTTCCACTATTTTTGTCAATTCCAATAATCACAAATGTGACATCGTAAATGATTAATACTTTAAGGCATGCAGTTCATCAGGGAACTGTTGCAGTGATGTTACAAGTATAATTCAAAGCAGGTTTTATTATAGGTAAAAATGGTGCTCAAATTAAGAACTCTCTAGCTGCTTGTAAAAAAGACTTTTCCACCCCCTTTTTTAAACCCCCTTCTCAATTGCTACGTCTAAGGTAGTAAATAAAAGAGGGCAAGGCCTTCCCTCTAGCCCTGCAACTGGGTGGCACAGAGTATGCTTAAGTTTCCCTCCCCTTGCAAAGCCAGGGACCAAGGCCAGACTGGGGCATCCTGGCCCTGCTCTGGTCACCTGCGTAGACTCAGGCAAAGATGCTGCGTCACCCACATAGTAACTGCTGAGAAAAAAGACCATTGAGTGCCTCAGACAGGCGAAACCTTGCAAAACTTTCTGATAAAACTGAAAAACTTGCCCTCTGCTAGGTCTTAGTATCATAAATCTTTGTAAAACTACAGGGGAGGGTTGCCAGATACAGGTTGTCACTGACCCTGCACTCAGGTATGAGATGCTGAATGGGACCTGAGCAGGCTTCTGGGAGCCCTGTGCAGGCTCTGAAGACCAGCATTGGCTCTAAAATCCCCTAAGAGAAATTTCTTACGCTTACTTTTAGTCCTTGAAGTTAGGCAGAATCTGCTACAGACCATCCCTAATGCAACCCCCATCTTTTAACTCTTTCAGGCACTGAGCATTGGGGATTTTCACCATGGATTCATTACGCAGTGACAACCTGTATGAAAATAAGATAAAGAAAACTTAGTTGAATAGAATCCTACTTCAGTAATAAAACACTTATTCGATGAATGGAAAGGACTTGGGTGAGTTCCTCTTCCAATTTTCTGTTACGTGATCACATATTCAGTTTACCACTTTCCCCAATGATTTACTGTCTCTACAAAATAAAGCTGGATCCCTCCTGTTAAACATGTGACACTTTTAAAGTATTTCCCCAAGCATTCCTCTCTTCTAAGAAACAAACTTGTGTTGCAGTGATCTTAATCATTACTTTTCCTAGGACAATACAAATGAGAGAGTTTTTTTCTATATACCACCTTCAGAAAGATTTGCTGACTCATAATTTCTCAGAAAAACTAAGGCAAAAGAGGAGAGAGTATTTTGATGGGTTTTGGTTAGCCCTGACAATGGAATTGACATCAACCGACTTGAAGTAAAATATGGCTTTTAATTTTCAAAGTGAGTCTGGATCTCCAGGAGTATCTGAGCAGAATAACATAAAGCAGACGGCATAATCTCTTCTCTTCCCAAACAACGTTTCACTTTAGAAAAAGAAAAGCTGCAATTCCTGATGGAGGAAATGCAGTAATTGTGTATAGCACGATGCCTGTATTTTCCTTGCTGAGTTTTTTGTTGCAACAGCAGAGATGTATTTGAGAAAATGGTGTTACATTTGCAGTATCTGGACACACAGACTCCTCCAGTTGTCAGATGATGGCACTTTTACCTTGGTCATGAAATGATTTGGGGTGACAAAAATTCCCAAAGTCTCCATTTCCAGTCGCTGAACAGGGCATGGCTGTGACCCTCACACGGCCACAACAGGAAGCCATCTCAGGGGACAACCATGTGTCTGATTAAGAGGGACTGTGTCTGATCTTCTAGTTCCAAGAGTCAATGGGCAATTTTGTCTGCATAGAGACCAGAACTGCAACGGCAATTGCCATTACTGCTGGTGAGCACAGATCTTTCCTTGTCCCTGCAGGTTTGTTTTTATGTGCTCACATCAATGATATGAGGGGAGAAAACACACACTGAGTTAGGTGCAAGGATCAGGCCCAACATTTGGTAATGGTATATTCTATGTAGCTTTTACTGGAAATGGAAATGAGATTTCCTGCTTTACCACTCATAAAAATTCTTTGCCTTATTCTGGGGTAAAATAGTATCAGACCTGGTCTAAATAGCTCCCAGTTTGTTCCCACTGAAACCAGTGATGCTCTATTGCACATCAGTCACAATAATGGCAGTATCTCATTACAAAAAGCTACCTCTTTAAGGCAGGCAGTCCTTGGCCTCGGCTCCAATTTTCATTGGAAACTAATGTTTCCATTAGTTATTACCAGCCTTGAAAGTCTTCGCCTTGAAAGTTACAGGACTTGCAGTGCCTTGCAAGACCAAATCCAGGCAATTTGGCTTGCATGAAGTACCTCTCACTGTGATTAGCTCCCTTGTTTCAGAAGGAGCAATTACTGAAAAAGGGGCATAGCTCTGGTAAGGAAGGCCTGATTGGGAGCTGGGCCGAAAGCACCCCACACCGCTTGATTTTCTGTGGAGCTTCTACCTAAATCAGTGGTAGAACAGTGGAAATGAGACTGACTCTGCAGGCTGCTTTGTATGAGTCACTGTATATTAAAAAGCCAGCTGGATTCAAAATCACAGGTCAACCAAAACCTCTTTATTTAGCTAAGCAAACAAAAGGACAAAACACTTTGAAACCTGAAAAGTGAGTCTGTACATATTTTTATCAATGTGATAATCCACAGGTACTAAGTAATACTCAGCAAAGCACTAGTATCTCTAATTTCCATTCTGCCTCTCTCATTTTAAAAAAGATCAACTTTAATAATGAGGTAAAAAAAATTTCTAATAGTGCAGCTGCTCCTCAGCATTTCAACTAGCTTTTGTGGCAGTCATTTAAAAAGAAAAAAAAGATAAGGGGGAAAACAAACACGGTGGTTTTCTCCTTCTTGCTGTTTTATGATGAAGACGTGTGATTGGATGGCAAGGAGTGATGAATGGATGCGATTGAGCTCCACAAGGAGGATGACCACATCTGGACCTCACCTTAACCCTTGCTGAGTTTGCTTGTTGGAGGGACACTGTTGTGAGGTGTCTCCTCATCACCAGGTCCTCATCAAGTGAGCTCCTCCCTGGGACCTGCTGCAGCTGAAAGTCCACAGCGGAGCTCCTGGGCTCAGAAGTGCCTCCCAAAACTCCCCCAGGTAGAAAACCACTATGCCTTTCCCTGCCCTCTTGATGTTTCTTTCTGCTTTCCCTTTCTCCCAGGAAAAACATTCCCCCAGGGGCAATTTCATTTATTGAGGGCAGAAACTCTGTGCCCTGGAAATAACCCAGCTGCTGCTGGGACAGCTGGAGAAATGTAAGCGCTGACTCAGTGCTGACAGTAGAGGTGGCAGCCGGTTCAGCAGAGGCAGGTCTGCTCGTGTCAGCTCTGTCGGCTGCAAAGAAGTGACAGAAGGCAGAAGGAGGTGAAGCAACGGTGAGGTCTCCGTGCAGGCTCCACATATTGCAACAAAGTCCAATAGTGATGGGTATTTTTCAGCAGATTCCCACCCTTTTTTTATGATTCTACTTTTTTGGCATCGTAACAGAAGTGGTGGGAGAGAAAGGGCAAGAGAAAAGATGAATGTGCTAGTATTTGCATAAGGGAAAGAGCACAGTGGTTCACACTATGACGCACGACGTGGGAATAGCTCCTCTGGCAGGTATCTTGGATACATCAACTGGCTGCAGCGTACCCTTCCAGCAATGGGTTGGTGCTGCACACAAGACAAAAGATCAAAAATGTTTCTTCACTGTGGCATTGTCTGAGTTGTCATCAATCCTAGACACCTCAAGCAGACAACTACAAGTGCAGGCAGAGCTGCCCAACCTATCATTCAGCCAGTGAAGGGATAAAACATAGTCCAGATTC